GCTGGCAATACGGGCCTGAGCACAGCACTACTTCAGGGTCGAGGCCCTGGTTGAAGTGGAGATGCCAGCTCATAAGGGGGTGGGTCAGCAGGTCTCTTTCCCAGTGCTACGGGCACGGTCACTCCACGTCCAAGCACACAGCCATCAGGGGGACTCTCTGACCCTGCCGGGACCAGTTTCAAGTTGCCAAAAAAGCTGTCAGCAATTCCACATCCACATGACAAAATGCTGGGCAGGAAAAGGGTGCTTTGCACCAGGAACACTAATAACTCCGAGAGCTCTGATGGTTCCATAGCTCAATCTGTCCCTATCAACAGGCCAAGAAGACTGTGACCTCCTTACAGCTTGGGAGCCCCTCCACAATTTCATGGAGTGCGAATTAGCAGCTATTACCGGTACCATTGTCGGGGAACTGGCTCTGTGGGGACGGAAGGAAATCTCTCCGAGTGGCCTGGAGATAATTGCAGGCGAGGAGGGTCGGCCTCTAGTTGTGGTCAGAGACTGGGAAATGGGTGCCCTCCTTCTCCTCCTGCTATTGTCCCAGCCCTGTGGTGGCACAGCCTCTGGGGATTTGAGGAGAGTCATGGCAGGAGAGTTTGAGCTCTGGAAGGCGCAGGTCCAGATGGGGCCAGGCAGGCCATTGTCCAGGCTGCCGGATTTAAGGAGGCGCTGATTCTCAGGTTGGTGCCAGTACAGGAACAGGCCCTGAGTGTGAGTGTCTCCCTAAATTCTGACCCCTGGCTGCATTACGTCACCCTGTGCCAACCCTGGAAGGTAGTTCACTGTAAAACCTACGGAAATGGATCTGACCTGTTCCCGGGGCCTCTTCAGCTAGACACCACCAACGTAGCCAAGACCACAGTATTTAATAATGTTGTAAGTTGTAACTTGTCCCCCGCACAGCAGGGGCCCCAGTGGAGTGTCCTTACATTAGCCCTCAGTCCTCCTGCCTGGGAGGTCCGTCTCTTTACTTCTGAGGCCCGAGGAGGCTGTGAGGTTTGCCTGGGATTCCGCAGTTAAAATTCGGCCCAGTCCGTCAGGTTGGGTTTATTTTCTGAGCTCTGAGTCTCCACGAGCTACTAACTAGTCCGCACTGGCAGACGCTTTTGAATCCATGTTTCTTTTCATACTGGGCCAGTGGCAGGCCCAGGGGATGGATCAGTAGCCAGGGGCCTGTGGCTCTGTGGAACCTAACCTTGGCGGGTCCTGACCGACTCCATCACCAGACAGTGAGGGGTCTCTGAGGATTGAGGACAAAAGGCCAAATCTGAAATGAACAGAGCCCATGTCGCAAAACCACATCCAACGCCTCACTATGGTCTTTGTAAGCCCTCCCAGGGTCCAGCTCCTGCCAACCCCGGCCTCACCCCTTCCACTTGCCTCTCATTGGCTGGGCTGTGCCCCTGCCCAGGACCCTGCTGACCACACCTGTTTCCATTTATCTGTGTTTGTAATGGTCACTCCACTCCCGTGGTCCCTTAGGGTCTCCACGTGGCTGACTCTGCCTTGTCATTCAGGTCCCAGGTAGAATGCTACTCCTCAAGGACCATTTCTCTGAACATCATCCAAAGTTGCTCTTGTGACCTCCTCGCAGGGACCCTGGGATTTTGCACGCCCCTCACTCAACCCTAGCTCTGCCCTGTTTCCCAGCATGCTCCTCTGTCACAGAAGAGATCCTGCTTGTCTGCCTGATCTTGGTCTTCACTTTACTGTGGGCGCTCCATTGATGTATCCACTGAGGTCCCCTCTTCACCTGGAACAGGGATGCCACCTAGTAGGTGCTCAGTAAACATCAGTTGGATTATTAAATGAACAAAGAAGAACATTCGTTGTATGAATGTTACCATTGACGTTGCCATTCCTTTGTAACTGCCAACCAAGTATGCCAAGGAGATACTTAGCACTAGTTAGGAATGCTTTCAACTGCAAGTAAAAATACATTGAAATAATGGTAGCCCAGACCAATTGGGTCTGTGTCTATCACACAATATATAAATTGGAAGTGCACAATGTCAGGGCCTCAATATCTATAACTATTGGACTTTTCCTGTTGGTTTTAAAATGCTGACTGCAGCTCCAGCAGTCACACCCACATTCTAGACAGGAAGAGAGTCCAAGAGAAAGATGGAGCAAGAGCCTCAACTCCTCTGACTTATATAAAATTCATAAGTTTTTACAAAAGCTGTGCACTGTATTTTTCCTCGGCATTTTTTGATGATGTGTTTTGGAGCGTCCCAGAGGCAGGTGGACCTGGGAATGAGCTATTTAACTTTTGCAGCTCCCAGCCTCCACATTAGGGTTCAGGAGTGAGCAAGAGATTTGGCATGGGCGTCCATCACAGAGGTTTATTTATTTTTTCTGTGTAGTGCAATTGTTGAGCTTCTGTGGCACATCGGAAGGAGACTTAGAATTGGCCTAAGAGGCTGAGATTTCCTCCTGGTCCCTATGTGAGTCCCTGGAGGCTCTGAACAGAGCAAGCGGAGCGGCCCCTTTGCCCCTCTGCAATGAAGACACACATTCAAAGCCTGAAATAGTCTCTTTCAGGATGATGGTGACCCAGTGTGGGGCAGGGAGCCCTCCTGCAATTGGGCTGCTCCAGAGCCAGCTCAGAGCCGGCAAAGGCTTCTAGAGGATGCCACACTTGAAGGAAGTGACGCTCCAAATGGTCGTTTAGAAATTAGCAAAGGCCACCTTGAGCCTGCGTGTGAGTGAAGAGGTCGGAGTGACCCCCCTCAGCTCCTGAGGCCCAGGAGACCACGCCAGCTTCCCTGGGAGCCAGGCCACAGCTGCCAAGGATGATAGGCAGAGAAGCCACACCTAGAAGTCAGTGGAAGCCCCGGCCAGGGAGACAGCTGGAGGACAGGGAGGAAGTGGGTCCCCAGGAGAATGCCTGGGAGGTGTCCTGCACACTCACCCCGTGATCCCGTCCCTCTCTCTCTTCATCAAGCTCTGGGCTCTGTGTTCCGTGGGACACTGAGGCTGTGTAGCACGGTTTTTCTCATCACAGGGCCTGATGACTGTCACCAGGGATCTCTTCTGTAACCCAGAAGCCCTAAGTGCTGGAAAACAGTCCAGAAAAAATGGACGAAATTGGAGCAGACACTTGTCAAAGATGGATGAAGAGTTAATAAACTCCTGATCATGAGTCCCCAAAGAAACCTAAGATAAATCCCAGGGAGAAAACTCTACAGAACCCACTAGAATGTCTGGTATTAGAAACTGGCCTTTCGGGGGGCTGGCAAGGAGGTGGAGCCCTTGTGGGCTGCTGCTGGAAGGTAAAAATGGGGTGATCCTTAGGGAAACAGCTTGGCTGCTCCTTAAGCTGAGCCTCCCCAGGCTGCTGCATGCATTAGGCCGTGAACCCTGTAAATAGTGTTGGGCGTTACTCTAGGGCATAGGTGGAAAGCTGAGCCCCAGAGGGAACCCGCTGTGTCCCCAAGGACGGGCAAGCATAGAGCCAGCCTGGAGCTCAGGCAGGCATGGGGAGTGGGGACCCTCCCACCCCTAGGAGTGGGGACCCCTTATCTGCAGGAGCCTTTTCTTATTGGGCACCCTGAGTCCTCTCCTAACCACTCCATGCTTCAGTTATTTTATCTACAAAATGGGGGAAAAAACTGTCCTTATCTCGTTGGATTGTGGTAAAAAGAATCAGTTAACCTTGGGGGTTGAGCCTTTGGGGGTAATGCTTCGTGGGTTTCAGCCAGGACGATGAGCCTGGCCCTGGACACAGCACGGGATCCATACTTGTTGCTCAGCCCCTGGCCTCCCCCGCTCATCAAAGGCTGTGTCTGAGCGGGTTTCCTGACTCAGCCAGGCCTGGGTCCCCCACCCCCAGCTCCCCGTGGGAACCATGAGGATTTGTCTGTGATTTTCCTTCTCCCTCCTGTCTTCTGTGGCCGATCACAAATTCTGTTGAATCACGTCTTGTGGAGTTGTCTTGATTCTCTGTACCTGGATTCATCCATCCAGACTGGACTGAGCCTTCCTACCTAGGCCTGCTGTGTCCCCTCCAGGGGGCTTCCAGGCCACAGCCAACAGGAGCTACTTCCCATGGTCTGATCACAACCCTGCACAACCCAAGATCTTCAGAGACACCTTCCCTCAGGTGACATAAAACCCAGGTTTCTGATGTCACTCTCCATGGTGTCTCCCCACTTGTCTCCAGAGCACACGCATCTAAGGCCCATTGCTGTCCTGAATCCCAAAGCCCACTTCCTGCCTTACCTGGCCTCTGAGCCTTGGCACACACCTTCCTTTTGAGCAAACCCTCTCCCTCCTCTGGGCCCACCTGAGAGGGCAGCATGAGGGCTGGGTGTGCACCTCAGTGGTTAAGCCCACTTGTGTTCAGCAGGTGTGAGGCCCTGGGTTCCTCCCCAGCAGTCCCCCAAAATAATAAAATAATCATGTAAGACTAGAAGAGAAGCCAACTCACTTGTTGTAGAATATCTACAAAAATAATCCACAGCAAATATCACACCTAAAGCAGAGGAAGTACAGTTTGGAAATGAGACTCTGATGTCCAGTTATCAGCACTTCTGTTGCGAGTTGAACTGAAGCCTCAGCCTTGCTAATAAAGGAACAAAAGAAACAACATATTTAGAGACTGAGAGGGAAGAAACGAAACTCTCTTGCAGGTGGCGTGATTATCTATGCAGAGGACATCAAACTAGAGAACTTTTAAATCAATAATTTTTAAAAAACAACTTTTTCGATCGATAAGCAAATTTCGTAAAGAAACTTGGATACAAAATCAATATAAAAATCAATAGCATTTTTGTATCCAAGCAACAGATGCTGAGAAAATCAAATTAAATAATGTTGCCACTTACAAGAGAATAGAAAGATAAAATGCTGAATTCTAAATTGAATGAAAGATATTTGTGACTCCTGCAAGACAAAGCATCATTGAGATAAATGAGGGAAGATGTGTCTAGCTAGATACACCCCTGCTCATGCATCGAAAACTCCAGGAGCAAATGTGTTCGTGAAGTTTCACCGTGACGCCAACGGAAACCTCAGGAGATATTTAAGTTGCTTCTAAAATTTATACAAAGATGTAAAGGGTTAGGGACAGGTAAGAAGAGTGAATTTGGAGGAGTTGGCCCCTCAGATCTCATGAAGCAATGCGGTGATTGCATCCAGACAGTAAGGGGGCTTGACTGTCACACGGCCAATGGAACAGTGTGGGTGGCCCACTTAGAAACAAGCTGCCCTCACAGACCCTTGTAGCTCAGGTGGTCCTGCAGCGGGGGAGTAGTGCTGGCCACATCAGACACCACACAGGGAAGGAACTTCTCTTCATCCAAATACCATCTTGAGTACATGGAAAGGAAATCTCAGAATGGAGAAAAGATGGGCCAAGAAATCGGTAAAAAAAAATATGCAACACCCTTAGCAATTAGGGAAACGCCAATCAAAACTACACTGAGATTTCATCTCATTCCAGTCGGAGTGGCAGCCATCAAGAATAAACAAATGATAAATGCTGGAGAGACAGAGAGAAAAGGAACACTTGTACACTGTTGGTAGGATTATAAACAGTATAGCCACTGTGCCAATCAGTAGGGAGGTTCCTCAAAAGACTAGGCACGGAACAACCCCCTGACCCAGCTCTGCCACTCCTTGGTCCTTATCCTGAAGATTTAAAGTCAGTAGACTATAGCGACACAAGCACACCCATTTTTATAGCAGCACAATTCACAATAGCCAAACTATGGAACCAGGCTAGGTCTCCATCAGTGGATGAATGGATAAAGAAAATGTGGTAAATATACACGATGGAGTTTTATTCAACCACTAAAAAAAAATGAAATTATGTCACTTGTAGGAAAATGGATGGAACTTGAGTCCATTAGGTGAAGTGAAATCAGCTAAAGCAGAAGGTCAAAGGTCATATGTTTTCTATGTGGAAGCCAGAGAGGAAAAAGGGAAAGCTAGGTGGGGTGTATGTGCAGGAATGTAATGATAACCAAAGGGGGATCAGCAGAGGAAAGGAACCAGGGTGAGGGGTAGAGGGGGGAAGAGCTGGGGAGTGATACTGACCAAATTATATCATTATTATACATGTTAGCATGTGCTAACATGTAACAGCCAATCCCATCATCATGCACCCATAAAAATGGGGAAAGACAAAGCAAAAAGCAAAAAAATACTACAAAGTCATATGCAAAGGACATTCAAACCTGATAGAAAAAAAAGGCAAAATTCTTGAAAAGACAATTCAAAAAATTGGGGGGGGTGGTTAAAGCCCAAAGAATCAATAAATCCATCAGAATGATTTCGGCCTCCTGAGTCACTGAAGTACCAATGAATGTCATGAGGAGATTACTAATATCCCACCCAAATGGCCAAACAGTTTCCTCATGTTGGTGGGAAAATGTAGTAAATGAAATTCTCTATGCTGCCCGTGGGAATGGAAACCAGCCAGCAACTATGGAAATTACTCAGCATTATCTTCTAAAATGAAATTCGTTGAAACTCTCCGACCTCAAGTTTTACATGAGCAGAATCACCTCCACAGGGAGGTTCCTGGGGACTGGAGGTGTGGCCAGAGACGGAGCATGTGCTTAGCAGGCACAAGGCCCTGGGTCCTTTCCCAGCACCAAAAAGAAAAGAAGGAAGGAAAGAAGGAAGAGAAAAAGAAAAGAAAGTTACTGACAACTTTTATTAAAATAGCTTGTAATCTGTCACAGGGCCGATGCTCCTCGTGGGCGGATGGGTAAGTACCTGTTGGCATAGTCACACGGGACACCCAGGGCAAGGTGGAAACGGATGCACCCTGGGGACACAGGCACGTGTAGGTGAGCAACAAAGGACTATGGCCCTGCACTGATTCCCTCCATGTGACTCAGAACAGACCCGGCTGACTGTGGCTTGGGCCCTGGAGGCCTGGGGGGAAGCACCTGTGGGGCTCATCAGCAGGTCCAGCAGAGGACTCGGCCAGTCTGGTGTTTACTCCTTGACCCGTGTTGAGGTCAAGGTCGTGTTTGTATTTACTTTGCAATTATTCATCAGGCTCTCCGTTTCTGATGTGTGCCTTTCCCGGTGCATGGCTGTGAGGGTTCAGGTTTTAGAGAACCCTTCAAAAATCGTACGCAGGGGTCAACCTCATATTTTTTAAGGAGGAAAACTTTGTGCTATTTCATTCAGTGCTCTGAATCTTGTTACCATTCCATAAAACTGACGAATTTCCATTAGTTACCGGAGTGTCATTACCATGAGGACAGTTTTGCTCAGAAGGTACACGAGGGGAGAGAAGTCTCAAATCAAATCTCGACTGTCTAGAGCTGTGTTCTTTCCAGAGCCCTGGGGCAAGCGCTCTCTTGTCTATGAAATTTGCATGGTGCTACTCCAGGTCCCATAACAATGGTGGGGGAGAAAAAGAAACACTGTGGCTGTTTTGCTGCAAGCAGAGAGTATTTGTAATTATGCTGATTTATCCTTTGGTTCATTTCCCATGGTGAAATTCAGATGCACAAAGATGAGTCTGCTAAAAACAAAATAGATTGGGGGCTACCACGCTTTGCTGTTGACCCCGAAAAAAATGTAGAAGTGCTGAATTGAAATCGTGAATTGAATGTGCTTTTAAGGACTAAACATATCTCGTTGATTTAGGGTTCCAGTGCACCTCATCTTTATGAAATTGTGAGAGAGATGGAGCCTCCCAAGCTGATCCGCCATCTCATATCATTTATTCTACATCGATAAACATATTCTGTTACCTGGAAGCAAAAATAGACAGGTCTTTTTAATTCCTTTATAGGAAAATATTTGCTTGCTCTTCTTATCAGAGGGATAACTATTATGGAGAAGATTGATCAGCATTAGAATAAAATATTTATCTAATTGCCCGAGACTTCTCTTCGGGATCAGAAATTCTCCATTAGCAAAGGAAGCGCATACGTATCAGAGATCTTAAAGACATTCAGACACAGCTGTTGGAATCAACTTCTGCTAAGGGTGCACAGCACAGTAAATTGCAAACGGAATATATGCAAATAATGCCCCATTATAAATATAGATTATTTTCTCTTTCCATAAACTGTGGCAATCACAATAAAAATGATAAACTGAGGTGGGAAGAAAGAGGTGGCGTTTGGGGAGCTGAGGGAGGGCATTTATGTTTGGCTTCACTAAATTATGCACCTTTTTATCTTCTAAGTTAATGGTATTGTACTTATACGCTTTGCATATTCTAATTTATTTCCCCAGACTGAAAACAGTTCTCCTTGTGCCAACCCAGCTTTCTAAGGCCTAGCTCAATAATCCTGCTCCGTGGTTTTATCCTCAACTGTGTTAGCACAGATGGGTTTATTGGCATGAAATAATGAAAATCCTGCCCAGCCTGACCCTGCCGACCTGGACCCTCATGTTCCGTCCTGCCTTTGGGGCCACTCTGATTCAGCAAGTGTCACTGTAGCTCCAGCTCCACATGCTCAAAGTCTCCTGTTGAAGAAAAGCTGCAGGGACTTAAGTATCCACACTGTGCCAGTGTGGTCATGGGCACTGCCAACGTGAGCACTGAGATGGGGGGGTCACTGGGTTTCACACAGATGGGGTCCAAATGATGTCTCCAAAATATCTTGCACCTTTTTCAGGAATATCTTGGTCAAGGTTGTCTACCAATGTGAGGGAGAAAAGAGAAAAGCAAAGCATAGGTACAGAGAATGCAGGGGTCCAGCAGAGGAGGGGTGCAGGGGTCCCCCGGTGGTGGTGGAGGGGAACCCAGGGCAGCTGTGTCTAGGCCAGGTGGCGCGGTCAGCAGAGTCAGGGGACTTCCAGGACAATGAAGGTTAGACCTGATAATGTCAGTTGCCTCCTCTGAAAAGTGGGTACAACTTCATCATCTCCCAGGGCACAGTGAGGAGTGACTCTTGTGTGTAGTTGTTGATTTCGCCCCTCTGTCCCCTTTCCTGAAGAAAGAATTGCATTCCACATGCAAAGTTTCCAATAACAGTCTCTTGCCCAGTTGCATCCGGGGCAAGCTCATCAATGATGCGCCTTTTCAATTGTTTTCTTACAGTAAAGACAATATTCCTAAGGGACAGCAGAACTCACATTCATAGTCTTAAATAAATGATTTCCATTGAGGCAACTGGCCCAAGTGTGACCTCTGTAAAGCGCGGTGTCAGGGAGGAGTGTGGACAGTGAGTGGCCCTCCCTCTGCCTCTCGTTATTAAAAGCCATGGCAGCAACATAGCTTATCCCATTTCAAAAGAAACTCGGAGAGTGTCTTCCCTGTAGCTTCGGATGATTTAAAATTGATCTCCTATAGCTTGTCCCACTTTTGTATTCTTAGCCACAGATAAAATAGTAGCCGTGGATGGAGGCAAACGGTGCTGAGCACTTGGGATGGTGCCTTGCTATTCTCGGAGCTCGCTGCTGGCGTCATCTCATCTTGCCTTTGAGATCCCATCACAGAGAAGAGCAAGGCCGGCCACTGTCATTCAGGCTCCCGTTCCAGGCGACGGGCCTTCACCGTCTCTGCCATCAAACAAACTTCTGAAAGCCGAGGTGCTCGCCCCAACAGATGCGCATGTGTCTCCTCGTGTGCGTTTATTGATGATACACAGAAGGTGCCGAGATTTTTAAAGACTTTATTTTTAGAGCAGTGTGAGGTTCACAGCAACCTTGAGA